TCCGCTCCTCCCTCTCCCCGCCTCGCCCTCGCCCCGCCCTCTCCCTCACTCCTCCCCACACACACCCCGCCTCCTTGGTAGCGGTGCGGCCGGAGCCTTCGGGAGATGGAAGGGCGCGATCGGGTCTCGGGTGAGCTCGGCTCCGCTCGGCTCCGCTCGGCGGGAGGCCCGAACGGAGGCGCGGCGCGCGGGCCTCTGGGTAGTGTAGTCCGTTCGACTGCGCAGGCGCAGTGCGGCCGGGCGGGCCCAGCGGGCGCGGGTCATTGTCCTGGCGGAGCAGCGCGGGTGAGTCCGGCTGCGGGCGGGGCGGGGCGGGGCGGGGCGGGAGGAGAGGGGGAGGGGCGGGGCCCCTCCCCCTCACTCTGCTCCCCCTGCGCGCACCGACCCTCGCCCGGGGGAGGGGGCGTGCGGACTGCGGGCGGGGAGGGGCAGGGGAGGGCTGGAGGGCTGTGGAGAGGGGGCTCGGGTCGGAAAGGAGGCGGATCTGTGTGCCTGACCGCGTGTGCGCTGGCCCTGGGGTCGTGCCCGTGTGTAAGTCGGAGTGAGTGGGGGCGGGCCCCTGCGCGCCTGCCTGTGCGGTGTGTCTGGGTGCGCACCTGTGTGCGGTCCTGGCCTGTCCACGTGTGTGCGCGCGTCTGCCTTTAGTAGCTTGGCCGGCGCGCCTCTGAGGGTGCCGCCCCGGGCGCACCTGTCTCCGGTGCTGGCCTCTGGATCTGTGTCTCCGGGAGTGAGGAGTGTCTCTCTGAGGCCCACCCCTGTCAGCGTGTCCACCTGGGTCTCGGTCTTTGGCCGCTGCTGGGTGGGTGTGAGTGCGTCTGGCTGTGCCCCTCCCAAAAGCAGGGGTGAAGGACCGGGTTTGGCTGGACAGGTGGGCCTGGCCTGGGCCCCCAGAGTCCCCAGCTCCTCCCAGGCCCTCAGACTTGTCTGGCCCATAGAAGGCCCTGGAGGGACTGGGAGCCTGAGGGCCAGGAAGTGTGTGGGTGACGGCATTTGGGGCTGGGGGGGGCGTGCTCCTTCTTTTCCTGCCTCCTCTCACAGGGCCTTCTTAATGGGAGTCCTGACCCCTCCCCGGTCCTGACCAGGGGTTTATTTGTTCAGGGACTGCGTATTGGGCCCTCAGAGTGCTGTTCCGGGCACTTTGCTGGGACTGCCTCGCTTAGAGGCCTTCCAGTAACTGTGAGGAGGGAAGCCCTTATCACCCTCATTTTACGGATGGGGACACTGAGCTCAGAGACTAAGTCACCCAGCTCTGTACCCAGGCATCCGGGTTCCAGAGCCCCCACGCTTAGCTACCAGGCAAATGGGAAATTCTTTTTTCCTTTCAACTCATCTGAGACAAAGTTCCAGGATTTTTCCCCTTGGGATTCACCCGTAGAAACAATGGAAGGAAGGAAATAGCAGAAAGCTCAGAGGAAGAGGAGGAAGGAGGGAGCCACTTGGCTTTGCAGCAGCACAGATCTCGGGCCACACTGGGTTCAACAGTCACCAGCCCTGTGCACGTGTCATTTTACAGGGCCACTGTGAGTTCATGGGCTCCTTTAAAAAAAAAAAATTTTTTTTTTTTAAATTACAGTTTGTGATTCCACTGCTATAAGGACACATATAATCTGGGTTGGATTACATTCACCTTTTTTGATATTAGGGGTCCTTGGCTCACCAGGCCTCGTGGGTGAGCTGGCTCTGGTTCTGTCCATGTCCAGCCAAAGGAGCCAGTGTTGTTGACCTCACAGTGCAGGAATGGGAGTCAGAGGCTGCCAGTCCAGAATGAGTAACATTTAAAAACTTAAATCTTTTTTCAAACATTATGACAGTAACAGAAATTATTGCATCCAGGGAAACAAAAGAATACGAAGGAAGACAATGAATAACGCCTCCTTCTCATTCCCACTTTGTTCCCCTCAAAGCACCACCTGGTGTCCATCATTCCATGGCCTTCCCCAGGCTCAGAAATGCTGCACAGAAACACCCCCCCACCATGTGCTGATTTGTCTTTACTCAGAGAGGTTAAAGTTAGGTATAAAACTCTTGTCTAACTTGTGTTTCTCACTTAGTGACATTACAGATGTGAGTAGATGCAGAACTAACTCCTCCTTTGTAGAGATGACCTGATCCTTCATAATACGGCCTCTCCCTTACTGATGGGTACTTATTATTTTGTTTCCAGGACTTTTTGTTGGTTGGTTGGCCTTTTGCCTCTAGGAATTGTGTTACAATAAATGTCTTTTTTCTGTGTTATAACCTTTTATGCAGAGCTTTTATTGCTATGGGCAGAGTCTCAGACAAGGTTTCTGGGTTATGGGGTTCGTATATTGCCAGCTCTCTTTCTGGAAAGGTGAGAGACTCCCATTCCTTCAGCTGTGTGTGAGAGGGCCCATTTCTTGTGTCTTTGCCAACACTAGAAGTTTGCTCATCTATTCATTCCCTGTGTTTGGGTGCCTCCTGTGTACCATACATTGTCCAAGATGCCAGAGACACTGTGCAGAAATGATCATCTCTGCTTACTGGGGGGTTGCATTCTGGAGGAGGGAAGACAGATGAGGAACTTGAGAACACCACTTTAAAAAGACCGTTGTCGATGATCATGTGTGCTATAGGGAGATGGTGGAAGGGGTGGGGCTTGCCACTTGAGCTCAGGGGCCTGGGGGTGGGGACTTACTTCTTCAAGGAGGTGACTCTTAAGCTGACCGGGAGATGGAGCTAGCCATGGGAAGAGCATCCCTGAGAAGGGAGCAGCAGATGTGAAGGCCAGTGTGCCTGGGGCCAAGTGTTGGAAGGGACAGCAGAGTGGAAAGGGGATGGCCAGCAGGGGCAGACCATAAGGGCCAAATGGGCCGCTGGGAAGACTGTGGATGATTTCTAATGCTGAGGGAAGCCATAGGAGGGTTTTAAGCTGGAGGACATTTTTATTGAGGGCTTGCTGCAGGCCAGACGTGGTGCTGTGGAGTCTGTGGACAGGAAGTGGTAAGAGACCCCAGCCCACGCCTTTGTGAACAACACTGGGGCTTCTTAGCCTCCACGCTATTGGCAGTCTTTGCTGTGGGGGCTGTCTTGTGCAGCGTAGGATATTGAGCAGTATGCTTGGTCTCTGCCCACCAAATGCCCATAGCAGCACGCTCCCCCAAGCTGTGGCAACTACTAATGTCTCCAGACGTTGTCAAGTGTCTCCTGGGGCCAAAATCACCCCCTAGTGGAGAACTGTTCTAAAGGCTTCTGCCCACCTGTCCTTTATGTGTGAGTTAAAATTGCAACTTTTTGCTTGTAAAAGTGGGGGGCCCTTTGGCCTCAAAAAGACCTTTCTTTGTCTTCATGGTTCTTACACTTTAAGAAACTCATTTGGAGGGGCGCCTGGATGGCTCAGTCGTTAAGTGTCTGCCTTCGGCTCAGGTCATGATCCCAGGGTCCTGGGATTAAGCCCTGCTTCGGGCTCTCTGCTCCCCGGGAAGCCTGCTTTCCCTCTCCCACTCCCTCTGCTTGTGTTCCCTCTCTTGCTGTGTCTCTCTGTCAAATAAATAAATAAAATCTTAAAAAAAAACTCATTTGGAAATTAATGATTCTCAGTCCCCATCCCAGATGGTTTGATCCAGCAGGTCTGGGCAGGGACCTACGGATGTATATTCTGAATAATAAGCATTCCTAGTGATTTCTGGTACTTTGAGAAATGGCACAGTAGCTGAAGGGCTTTTGTATAGGAGAGGACTGTATTTTTACAGGAGATCCTGAGGGAGGTTTAAGGAGGCATATTTTGACTTAGAGCAGAAGGAAAACTTGTTTCCAGTCAGAGGTGTTGGTGACACAGGTAGTGAGCTCCTCATCATGGGAGGCATGCAAGTCCTGACAGGTCACCATGGAGTCAGGACTGAACTAGCATGTCCTAAACTCTAAGAATCTGCGCTAATCTATGCCGCCTGTTCAGTGTTTTACTTTGTCTTTTATTTAAATTGACTGATTTTTGTTTGTTTGTTTTGACTCACTGATTTTTTAAATTATTTATTTATTTTACTTAAATCAACTTAGTTTATTTTTTTTTTTAAGATTTTATTTATTTTAGAGAGAGAGTGCAAGCACAAGTGGGAGGGGCAGAGGGAGAGGGCAATAGTGTCTTAAGCAGACTCCACGCTGAGTGCGGAGCCAGACGTGGGGCTCGATCCCAGGATCCCCGAGATCACAGCCTGAGCCAAGACCAAGAGTCGTACGCTCTACCAGCTGCGCCACCCAGGCGCCCCTAAATCAACTTAGTTTAAAAGGGCATTCTGTGTGACTGCCATAAATAGGAGCGGGGCACTGCTGTAAGAAAGGAGACACTTTAGGACAAAGCTGACTGTATCCCACTCTTCGGAACACACACGACCAACAACAGTAATAACAGCTGCTATGTGTTGAGCTCTTACTGTGTGCTATAAGGCCCCAAGTTCCTTCTGTGTATCTGTTAGCTGAACCCCAAGGTTACCCCCATGAGATGCGGGGGATCGCCTGCAGGGGTGGGGAGTAGGGCCTCGGACCAGCACTCAGACCTGGGGAGGGGGTCTGAGCAGGGTGGCTGGGAGAAGGCAGAGGGTCCTGTTGCTCCCAGCAGACTGTGGGAGTGGATGTGCGGGTGTGAGGGTGTCCGGTTGTGCATTTGCGAGGCAGCAAGCACCTAGACCTGGACATACTCTGCCCAACTCCATTCCCAGCTGTGTAATCCTGGGCCAGTGGCTTATCCCTTGGGCCTCAGTTTTCTCATCTGTGGAATGGGGTGGGTGGGAGTAGGACTTGTTTTGTGGGGCATTAAGAGGATTAAAGGAGAGATGTCCGCCCAGGGCCTTGCGCAGAGGAGTCGTGCTTGGTGTTTGTTACTAACGTGTGCGCGCGCGTCCCCCCTTGCCTGTCTCCTAGTGGGTATGTGTCTGTCTGTCCTGTCTGCTGTGTGAAGCAGGCCCAGGCCTGGTCTCTCACCATGACCTCTCTTTCTCTCCCAAAACCGTAGTCTGCCCGTTCCTGGCACCCTGGGCCCTGGAGGGATGGCCACCCAGCTGCTGACTGATGAGGCCCTGGTAAGTCATGTTACCCTCTCACACTCCATTCCAGAGGCTCAAGCCCAAGGGGCAGGACTCCTGCCCAGGGATGACCCTCTGACTCCCAGGCCCCCTGTGGAGCTCACCTCCTGGGCTGTCTCCAGGGGCCTGTGTCGGCCCTGAGGAGCGAGGGCCACATTCGTGGGTGCTGCTCGCCTCTGCTCTGCCCTTTCCGGGCTTGGCAGCCCCTTGCCTGCCCCTGACACTGGCTTCGGTCAGCCAAGGGGGACAGGGCAGCTTGGGAGGGACTGGCTCTGTCCTCGGGGCTTTCAGGAGACAAATGGGCAACTGGGAAGTGGTGGTTTAAACACATCACATCAAGTGTGAAAAAGGCCCCTGCAGAGGGGCCTGGGCAGCATGCTGTACCAGACGCGTGACTGTCGCTTACGAACACCGACACGCGTGGTGAAAGTGCAGAACACAGGCTGGAACAAGGCCCGCGTGCACACTTAGGACAGCGATTACCTCTGGGGAGAGGGAGGAGGGCGCCACGGGGTAGGGCATCGGGCGTCCGCGGCTCTCGCTAGTAGGTTTTATGCTTTAGTGGGTGGTACGTGTATGGTTGTTTGTTGTGTTTTTCTCTAAATTTCCTTTTATGCCAGAAATATTTCACAATAAAGAAATTACATGTAAATATTCCTTCTAGAAAACTGGGAAAACCCAGTAAACTGTAGGTAAGACAATATAATTCACCCATAGTCCCTTTCCCCTTAGATAAACCATATGGATATTTGTGTATTCATTTATTTTCTTCCTTCTCTGATTATCATTTTAAAAAACTGACCAAGTATTGGCTCTGCCATTTTAATATTGAGATTCCCCCCCATTCTAACTTTAATTGATAAGGATTTCCCTTATTTTGAAACTTCATAAACTTTGCAAACATCGCTTATTTGGCTGCATAGTCATCCGGTGAGTTTGACTTTTTAAAAAAAATTTTTGATGCTGTAAATAGTCTGTCATAAAAGTAAAAGAAAATTCCTGGTAGGTAAGGAAATGCATAATCATTATAAAAAGCTTAGAAAAGTCCAGAAGAACACAGCGGAGAGAATGGGATTGACCTGTGATCTTGCACAGTAGATAACCACTCTTGAATGTTTGGGTGTCTTTCTTTCCCTGGATACATGTTTTGCAAAAATGAGAATCACCCTGGCTAAGCAGTTTTTATATCCTGTTTTTTTTTTTTTGTTGAAGATTTAATCCTAAGCATTTCTCCTCGTAGTTAAAAGCTCCCTGTAACATCCGTTTTAATGGCTATGTAAGAATTTCAGCTAAGAGCTGTAGCTGGTTTCCTTTGTGGTTCCCTTGTTGTGGGACGTTTATTGGTTTCCAGTTACTTGTGGTTACGAACAATGTTAGGAGGGATACGGCTGGCACATAAGTCTTTCTGTGCATTTCGTGTGATTTCTTAGGCGGGCTTCCTTGAGGAGGAATCCCGGGTTGGATGTTTCTGAGGCCTTCCATGGGGCTCCTAGCGCTTTTCCCACTGGTGGTGGCAGTATGTATGTGTTCCCCGCCAGGCTGGAGGAGAGATTTCCGTGGGCTGTTGTCAGAATTTCTTCTGAACGTGGGATATAAATGACATATGGTATTGACCTTGAGCATGATGGGTGAGCTTGAGTAGCATTGTCTGTATTGTGGGTGAGGGTTTATTTTCAGGAAATGTTTGTTAGCCATTTCTGCAGGCGGGTAGATTATCTCTCTTGAGTTTTACCAGTCTACAGGACTCTCAGTATTCTTGAAATTTTAAATATGTGTGCGTGTGTGTGTGCGTGTGTGTGTGTATGTGTATAAGTAGTGGTGGCAAATATTCTTCCCAGGCTCGCTCGTTGTTTCTTCATTTATTCTATATTTTTAAATTACAAAAGCATTTCAGATCTTTAAAACCAAATCTGCCTCCCCTTCTGTGGTGACATCGTTGACTTTAAAGGTCTCTCCGTTCGCAGGTCATACATGACCTGTATTTTCTTCCTTTTTTCCATTTATCATTTGGATAATAACCGCGACTTTTGAATCTTTTGTATCTACATGAAATTTAATTTGGGGTATGAACGTGTCAGTTTACTTGTCTGTGACTTTCGGTTTGTCATGTCTTCGTTTATGTAACCCCTGTTTTGGGACGCACTCTGCCTACCACACCATATACAGTTCATTGGTTTATGGTCTAATCACAGAATTGTGCGGCGGTCACCACAGTCAGTTCTAGAACATTTTCATAAGGCAAACAGGAAATGTGTGCCCGTTAACACTTGTTCCCATTTCCCCCATTGGTCCCCTGCCCCTGGCAACCACTAATCTTCTTTCTTCCTTTGCGAATTTTCGTATTTGGGACGTTTCATGTAAATGAAATCACACACTGTGTGATCTTTTGTATCTGCCTCTCAGCATGATGATTTTGAGGTTCCTTCATGTGGTAGCACGTGTGAATGCTTCCTTCCTTTTCAGGGCTGAGTAATATTCCACGGCGTGGAGAGACCATGTTTATTCACTCATTCATCAGCTGGTGGACATTTGAGTTGTTGCCACTTTCTGGTTATTGTTAGTAATGCTGCAGTGAACATTACAAGTTTTTTTTTTGTTTGTTTGAACCCATGTTCTCATTTCTCTTGGGTACATACCCAGGAGTGGGGTTGCTGTGTTTAACCATTGAAGGAACTGTCAGCCTCTTTTCCAAAGCAGTTGCACCATAATGTCTTCATTTTTAACTTATCTGTGGTGGTTGTCTCGATTTATTCTTTTACCTACATTATTTAGGAGGACTCTGAGGGCTTGGGTGCCTTTGGTGTTAAGCTTCACTTCTAGGGGAGTTCTCCTCCACCCCTTGCTGTCTGCCCTCCCAGCATCCTTTGCGGTAAGGTGTAGGCTCCAAGACTTCCAAGACCATCCATTGTGGTTTTGGTGTATTTTTGTGCACCCCCAGCCAGGCTTGGTGTATGGGACATGCTCAGCAAATAGTTTATTTATTGAGTGAGTTGAGATGGAACATGCTTAGGCAAGAGGACATGCTCAGCAAATAGTTTATTTATTGAGTGAGTTGAGATGGAACATGCTTAGGCAAGACTTTCTGAAAGAATTATTATATAAAAAATTAAAATAAATTTTAAAAGGGGGCAGGAGGAAACTTGTGGAAGTGATGGATAAGTTTAAGATTGTGGTGGTGATTACATGGGTGTGTACTTTCCAAACTTACCAAATGGTATTAATAGTCACAGCTTTTTATATGGCAACCATACCTCAATAAAGTAGGTTTTTTTAAAAGAAGGAATTATTAGCAGGACTGGTCAAAGGTTGTATTAGGTCAAAGAATCAAATAATATCATATAATAATAACTATTAATAATAAAAAGTATATAAGATATATATGAAACATCAAAATTAAATGATGATTAGCAAAAGTTGGCATTCATCAAGAGCTTACTCTAGCTGTATGGGACACTGTGCTGGAAGCATATATGTATTACCTCACTTAACACCCCTGACAACCACGGAGGGGGACATTGTTGTTATGAAGCCCATTGAACAAATGAGGCTCAGAAAGGTTGAGACAGTAGCCCAAGGAAACACAGCGTAGGAGGGACAGAGCCAGGATTTCATTGCAGGCTACCAGACTCCCAAGTCCAAACCCTTAGCCACCGCTGCATGCTGCATCTGCATCGATGGTGGCCCCTGAGACAGGGAGGCCAGTGTGAGCCCAGGGCACTTGGGCAGGCACTGGTGACAATGAAAGAACTGGCCAAGAGATGAGGTCTCCTCCCAGGGAGGATGAGCGGTGGTTCAGGGTCCGGGGCGGGGGTGGTGCTCAGCGCACTGGAGGGAGCCAAGGACCTGTGGGTGGCAGTAACAGTAGCTGATGGTTATTGAGCACCTACTGTATGTATGTACTGTTCTGAGCAGCAAACATGGATTAACTTAATTCTCATGCCCTCCTTATTCATTGATCCATTTATTCATTCAAGAGCTATTTGTTGAGTGCCTACTAGATGCCAGGCATTGTACAAAGCACTGGGGATATCATAGTGAGCAGGATGGGTGTATTGGTTTGCTAAGGCTGCCATAACAAAGTACCACAGACTGGGGGATCACAGTGTAAATCTATCTTCTCACAGTTCTGGAGGACGACGTCCCCAAGATCAAGGTGTCAGCAGGGCCATGCTTCCTCTGAAGGCCTAACAGAGGGAGCCGTTCCAGGCCTTCTTTCAAGTTTCTGGTAGTTCTGGGCTTGTGGCAGCATAACGCCAGTCTTCACATGGCATTCTCCCTGCGTGCATGTCTGTGTCTAAAGGTCTCTTTTTTATGAGGACACCAGTCATGTAGGATTAAGGGCCCACCCAACCCCAGTATGATTTCATATTGACTCATTACATCTGCAGTGTCCCTGTTTCCAAATAACATCCATTCTGAGGTGCTGGAGGTCTAGACTTCCACACAGGACTTGGGGGTGGGCATAATTCAACCTACAGCAAGCCCTTTGAATAGGACCCAGCCCACAGCAACTGCACAAGAAGTGATGGGTCTTGTTATCGTGGTGGTTGACGTCATCACCATCATCATTACCTACCGTGCTACGGAATATTCATTTTATCCACAGGGTTTACAGCATCTGTTGGGAAGGCACCGAGGCTTCCACCCCAGGAACTCTCCACCGTTCCCCATGGCCTAATCTGCTGCGTAAGCCTCAGGTCTTGATTCAGCCTCCCCCCACAGACCCAACCATTCATTGTCCCCTCAGACTACATTCGGTGTCACCTTTCTGAAGTCTTCCTAGACACCCCCTAAAGCTGCCATTGCTCAGGGCGTCTGGAGGATTTCATTCGTACCTTCACGGTGGTATTGACCAGATTGCTGATCAATTATGTATGTGTTCATGTACCTCGTCCATGAGGAGCTAGTACTTGAACTTTCTGTGTCGTTTCCCAGCACCTAGCTCAGTGCCTGCAGCTCCATAGGGGCTCAGGACAGTGTGTGGAACTACTGGAGTCCATCTAGGATTCTGCCTTTACCGGGCAGCTAATGCACATGTCCATTCACGGGGTTATGGTCATTATACCTTTGATTCCTTCTCTGTTTCCAAAGTGTATGACTTTCTGCTCTAAACAGTCTTATATTTGTTTTATTTCTCTGTCAGAGGACCATCCCACTATAAGTAGGCACCAAGAACACTGAGGGGTTGGTCCCTTCAGAACTCCGCACCTTCTTGAAATCACTCCAGAGACATCCTGTCTGCCTCCCCTAAACCCTTTTGGCTTTTCTGGCCTTTTCTCGAGACCTCTGTGAGTAGGGCCCTGCGGTGAGTGGTTGTGGGTTTCCTCTTACAGGAATCAGTGACGTTCAGGGATGTGACAGTGGACTTCACCCAGGAGGAGTGGCAGCAGTTGGAGCCTGCCCAGAAGGACCTGTACAGAGATGTGATGCTGGAGAACTACAGGAACCTGGTCTCTCTGGGTAAGGGGGCAGCTTCACTGAATTACTCACCATCGGCCTGTCACTTGAGGACTACAAAGAAATAAGAAAAAGGATGGACAGATTTGACTATGTAGGAAGTTTAAAGATAAAAATAAAGTTGATAGGTAATGAAATGGAGTAATATTCACCACATGTATAATAGTCAAAGGATTATAATTATATAAAGAGCTCCTAGGAATAAACAAGAATGAAACAAGAAACAATGATAGAAAGGTAGACCAAACATATGAGCTGGCAGTTCATAAATGTAGAAATACACAAAATCACAGTTTATAAAAGATTTTTAAACTTTACCAATAGTCAAAGAAATACAGTTTTTGCCCGTGAGGAATGATAATAGCCTGTATTGTGAGGGTGTAGGGAAAAGACTTTCCCATTTTAGGAATATAAAATTGGGACAGCAATTTTGGAGGACAGTTTGGGCGTTATCAGCCAAATTTTGAACGGTTCTATTTTTAGGGATCTGTCCTTTAGATATCTTCCTGTGAGTGTGCAAACTTTTACACAGGAAGAAAAGGAGAAATGACCTAAATGCCCACCCATACAAGACTGACTAAACACATCAAATCGTATCAGTATGATGGAAACCATGTAGGTCTTCAAAGGTGAGCACTCTTTGTGGATGCTGACATGGAAAGATATCCCTTGATACAGTGCTATGTCAAAACCACTAACTTCCAGACCGAGAATATGTCCCATTTCTCTTACAGCTTTCATGGAAGTATAATTGACCTACAATTAACTGCACATATTTAAAACTTACAATCTGATGCATTTTGACATCTGTATACACCCAGGGGGAAACCCATCACCATGATCCAGATAATGAACATATCCATTACCCCTTTGTAATATCTCCGTGTGCTTCTGGCACCCACCCTCCATTCCCTGGGCGACCACTTTATGTGTAAGTGCTTTACGGCACTGTGGTTTAATTTGCATATTCTGGAATTTTACATATACACACTCATACAGCATGTACTCTTTTTTTTTTTTTGTTCTGATTTCTTTCACTTGGCATAATTATTTTGAGGTTCGCCCATGTTGTGTGTTATCAGTAGTTCACGTCTGTTTATTGCTGAGTAATATTCTACTTCACGGATAGACCACGATGTGTTTATCCATTCACTTGTTGATGGACATTTGGGTTGTCTCCAGTTCTGAGCTGCCACCAGTAAATCTGCTATGAACCCGTGTGTACAGCGTTCACTGTGGATCTATGCTTTCCTTTCTCTTGAGCAAACACCGGGGAGTAGAATGGTTGAATCACATGGTAGGTGTGTCTTAACCTTTCCGGAAACTGCCAGACGTTTTTCCAAAGCAGTGGTACCATTTTACATTTCCGCCAGCAGACCCCACGAGTTCCAGGTGCTCCGTGTGCTTGTCAAAGCTTCGCATGCGCAGTCTTTGTCATTTTAGCCATTCTCGGGGGTGTGCATTTTTGTTGTGTGTGCTTTTGGTGTCCTGAGAGACCGTTGCTTGACCCAAGGCCACTAAGATTCACTCCTGTGTTTTCTTCTAAGACTTTTGTAATTTTGGCTCTTCATTTAGGTCTTTGGTCCATTTTGAGTTAATTTTCATGAATTGTGTAGGAAAGGGGGCTAATGTCACTCTTGCATGTGGGTATCCAAGTGCCCTGGCACTAATTGCTGAAGAGCCGGAGGTTTTAATTTGATGTAGTCCGATTTATCAGTCATTTTCCTCTGGGATCATGCTTTTGATGTCATATCTAAGAAATCTTTGCTTGTCTCAAGGCCACAAAGGTTTTCTTCTATAAGTTGTATAGTTTTAGGTTATGTGTTTTGTTCTTTGATCCCTTTAGAGTTAATTTTTGTAATGACGCAAAGTGTTAATTGAAGCTTTTTTTTTTTTCATCAAACGAATATCCAGTTGTTCTACCACCGTTTGTTGAAAAGACTGCACTTTTCCACTGGAAAAATTTCCTTTGCATGTCCGTCAAAAATCAGTTGTCCATGTATGTATTTGTGGGTCTAATTCTGGGCTGTGTTCTGTCTCCTCCATCTATGTCTGTTGTGACACCAACACTGTATCATTTGATCTGCTCTCAGTTTCTGCCTTTATGACCTGTGCTCAGATGCTTGCTGTCTTCATGACCCTCTTGAGTGTCCTACCCAATGCCTGTGAATTACATGGTATGGGTTTCGTGGCTGGCTGGTGTGAGAAGGCACCGTTCCCAGCCTTCATCGGCTCTGGGTACATTTTCAAATCCTTCTGGGTGTTTTTTCCCAAGCTTGGGTGGTTTCCATGTCTGCAGTTCTGACCAGGAATCTGATGCTGGGGGAAGGACCTTGCAGATCTCCAGAGCGCTCTCTCTGCTCAGGGCATCTGCTGGGCTTTGCCTCGTCCTCCCTCCCCAACCCCCAAGGCCCCACCCTAAGCCTGCAGCCTTTCCCACGAGTAAGCTGGGTGGTCCCAGGGCCTGCCTCTCTGATCCCACCTCTCAGGTAACATTGCCCTTTATTGTCTGATGTCCAGTGTCTTATAACCTTTGTTTTATATATTTTGCCCTCCCCCGCACCCTTTCCCTTTGCTTTAGGCTGTAGGCTGAAGGGAAATCTTACCCCTGTTATTCTGTCTGGGCTAGAAGCCCCATTTGAGGGGGAAAAAAGTGTGCATTTATATGTGTGTGCGTACAAGTGTGTTATATGCACTTTTAAAAAAAGGTGTACACTAGAGAGAAAGTTCTAAAAATACACACCAAATGGTTCACACAGGTTAGATTGCAGGAGACTTCCATTTTATGTTATTTTTTGATGTTTGATGTTTAATTACAAGTGTGAACTACCTGGTGATCAGAAATGATCGTAGAAATACAGAATATGAGAAAAGAAACTATGAAAGACAAGAAATCTAGTACCACAAAAACATCCCTATTTAGATCAAAAGGAATGAATAGCGTTTTGCACATGAGTAGCTTTTTGCCAAAGTGACCTCTGCAGACATCGTCCTGTTAGCATTTCCCTCGCCTGCTGCAAGGATGCTCACATCCCCGCACTGCACCATCTGCACATCCTCCATGCTCTGCTGTTTGCCAGTGTTGTTGGCGAAACGCCGTGTGGCCGGTTGGTTTAATTTGGCTGACGATGAGCTGTGTATTCACAGCTTCTCATGGCTAAGAGCTGAGTGTTTGCTTTTCTGCAAACGATCTCTCCTGACGGCTTTTAATCCATGAAAGGGAGGCTGCCCCCTTAGATCACAGGGTGCGCTGGCATTCTGCCTCCGGCCTCCTGACTTCTCAAGTTAGTACTTGCTCCAAAGGACTTTCACCTGTGCTCACAGCTGAGCCTCTGCCCGCTTTGGTGTCTGCAGCCATGGCCAGTCGGTACCCCAGCGCCTCTCCGTCCCCATGGCCCCATCCCGACTCGCCATCCCCTTTCTGTCCCCGCCCCACAGCCTTCACATCCCATGCCATCATCTGCCCTAACAGCTGGGCATCATGCACACCCCAAGGTGACTAAGCCACAGTCATTCCCCTACCCTCAGTACTTCTCAAACCTTTTCCTCTGGGATAGGAACGCAACTCACAGCAAAACAGCGACTCATCAGGGTGTATGGCTCTAGGATCAGACTGCTAGAATCCCAGCTCTGCCTCAAATGTGCTGTGACCTTGAGTTTGTGACTTGCTTCTCAGGCCCTCAGTTCCCTCATCTGTAAAATGGGCACAATCTTAACTCGCATGTGCTTGTCAGGGCTGCATGGAATGATCCATGCAGACGGCTTAGTGCCGCACCAGGCACCTTGCCCGGTGAATGTTCATCGGACAGCTTCTCTGTGCCAGGCACTGCTGCAGGAACTGGGCCCCGACAAGGTCCGTGGCCTCATGGAGCTCGCTTTCCATAGGGAGGCTGGCAATAAACAGATCCCAGGGACAGACGAAAGTTGCCACAGATCATAATGAGCGCCTACAATGAAACAGGCAAGAGACTAGCAGGAGGGGTGTTCCTTTCCACCATGGGATGGACAGGGAAGGCCTCCCTGTGGAGGATGTTAGCTCAAGGCTGAAGGATGAGCACCACTGGGAAGGTGGGGTGGGGCGGTGGCACATGCAAAGGCCCCGAGGCAGGAAGAGCTTGGCATGGACAACTTGTCAGGGAATAAAAAGGGAACCACAGGGCAAGTCTGGCTGACAGCAGGTGAGCAGGGATGGGTGGCGGGAGACAGGTTAGGAGAGGGGGCCTGGCTCTGTCCTGAGGACCCTGTAGGCCGGGGAAGGCACTGGCTTTGATTCTCAGAGCACCAGGAAGGCACTGGAGGGTTTGGTCTGACTCTTAAGAAGATCCTCTTGCTGCTTAGTGGAAAATGCATCGTAGAGGGGTGAGGGTGGTGGGTCTTGCTGCATTTCGGCTAGGAAATCCGGGGTGCTAACTGGATCATTGGCAGGGGTGATGGCAAGATTTCATCTAGTCCAAGCTGTTGTGCGCATCCAGTGGCACTTGCTAGCAGTCTGGATGGCGGGAGAAAAGGGGTGAATCAAGGGGAACTGCTACGTCTTTTTTTTAACTCAATTTTTTAAAGTGGTAAGATAGACCTAAAATTTACCATTTTAACCATTTTTAGGTGTCCAGTTCAGTGATGTTGAGTACATTCACACTGATGTGCAGCCACCACCATCCATTCATAGAACTCTTTTCATCTCGCCAAACTGAAATTCTGTCCCCATTAAACGCCCTCTCCCCACCCTGTCCCCCAGCCCCTGGTGCCACGGTTTACTTTCCGCGTCTGTGAATGTGATGACTCCAGGGACCTCACAAGGACTGGAGTCATACAGTATTGATCCTTCTGAGTTTGCTAAGGCTCTTTGATGAGGCTTTCTTTTTATCATTGATTTTGGAAGGGGCAGTGGTTCCCAAACCACAGGTTCTGAATGAGATGTACTAGGTTTGCAGTATCCAAGAGGGACAACAAGTGGGCTTTCGAATATTCGTCAGCAGAGCCCAGAGGAGGTTTGGGCTGGAGGTTCAAATTTGGGAGGCGTCAGCATGTGGAAGATACTGAAATCCAGACTCCCCTGGCATGGCCCATTGTGACTTAGGGGAGGGGTCTCAGATGCCAGGGGTTGTGGGCTAGGTCGGGGTTTGAAAGGGGCAGCAGGAACCGCTGCCACCTTACCCCTGCTTCTGGTTGCCTCGTAGGAAGGAGGGGATTGGAGCTGCAGCATGGCTGGGACTACCAGGCAGGGACGGATGTGCAGAGGCAGGAGGGTCTGGAACCAGCTCGAAGAGACACCTGCAGCCCTAGGACTGGGCAGCGGAGGAGGGGAGTGAGGGGCCCTGGGCGGGACAGGGGAGGACGGAGCTTGGCTGGCCTCGGAGGATAACCAGCACATGCCACACAGATGTCGGCTGTCATCTTACCATTTCTAACAAAAATTGGTGCTTTGGGAAGCCTAAGTGGTGGGGGATATTCAAGATGAACCCTGGAAGTAGGGAACCCGTTGCAGTAACTCCTTGCTCGGGTTTGCAAGAGTCTCTGGTCCGCTCCGTCCAAGCCGGCTTACCTCCTGTCGTTTCTCTTCAGACGTCTCTCCTTGGCTCTCTCACTCCGGTCTGCCGCCGTCCTTTTCAGCGCTCTCCCGAAGGGACACTTCCTGTTCCCTCTGCTCCCCTCCTGTTGCTTCTGCTTCCTTCAACCACATTTGTCACCAGCTCTTTGCTTCCCCTCCGATCAGCGGGTTGTCATTTGCGTCTCCATCCATGCCCTACTGTGTCTCTGATTTTGTGTACTCATCCATCCCCAGCTTTGGAGGTGCCTGACTCCCAGCATTGTTAACTCCATGCGTTTCATCTTCTCTTTCCCCTCCCCCCAGACTTGGAGACTAGACCTGAAATGAAGGAGTCGGGTCCAAAAGAGGATAGTGCGGAAGACAGACCGTCCGTTGGGGTGGTCGTGGAGGGACCCCCGAGAAATGGTGCCCACGGTCTGGCCTCTGAAAGAGCGTGGACACAGGGTGACTGGGTGGAGAGGCAGCTGGGAAACAGACAGACCTGTCTGGAGCGGTTGGAGGCTTCCCAGGAGCTCGCCCCCGCGTGCTGGGAATTTAAGGCATTCACCCGCCAGAGCTCCGGCCTGGTCCCACCACAGTCAGAAGGCCCAAGGGAAGAGGGCACCCGGCCGTTTGTCATGCATGGGAAGACATTCTCGAGGGCCCTGGACCTCAGCCAGCCGTCCAGACTCGACGTGGAGAAGAAATCCTACGACTGCAGCGCCTGTGGCAAGGCTTTCAGCCGGAGCTCATCCCTGATGAAGCACCAGCGGATCCACACGGGAGAGAAGCCCTTTGAATGCGACGTCTGTGGGAAGCACTTCATTGAGCGGTCATCCCTCACCATCCACCGGAGAGTTCACACTGGAGAGAAGCCCTACCGATGCGGGGACTGCGGCAAGGCCTTCAGCCAGCGCATGAACCTGATCGTGCACCAGAGGACGCACACGGGCGAGAAGCCCTACGTGTGCGACGTGTGCGGGAAGGCCTTTCGCAAGACCTCGTCGCTCGCGCAGCACGAGCGGATCCACACGGGGGAGAAGCCCTATGCGTGTGGGGACTGCGGCAAGGCCTTCAGCCAGAACATGCACCTCATCGTTCACCAGAGGACGCACACCGGCGAGAAGCCCTATGTGTGTGATGTGTGTGGCCGCGCCTTCAGCCAGAACATGCACCTGACCGAGCACCAGAGGACGCACACGGGCGAGAAGCCCTACGCATGCAAGGAGTGTGGGAAGGCCTTCAACAAGAGCTCGTCCCTCACTCTGCACCAGAGGAACCACACGGGCGAGAAGCCCTACGTATGCGGCGAGTGCGGCAAGGCCTTCAGCCAGAGCTCCTACCTCATCCAGCACCAGCGGTTCCACATCGGCGTGAAGCCCTTTGAGTGTAATGCTTGTGGGAAGGCCTTCAGCAAGAACTCGTCCCTCACCCAGCACCAGCGGATCCACACCGGGGAGAAGCCCTACGAGTGCTACATCTGCAAGAAGCACTTCACGGGGCGCTCGTCCCTCATCGTGCACCAGATGGGCCACACCGGGGAGAAGCCGTACGCCTGCGGCGAGTGCGGGAAGGCCTTCAGCCAGAGCGCGTACCTCATCGAGCACCAGCGCATCCACACCGGGGAGAAGCCCTACAAGTGTGGCCAGTGCCCCTCATCGTGCACCAGATGGGCCACACCGGGGAGAAGCCGTACGCCTGCGGCGAGTGCGGGAAGGCCTTCAGCCAGAGCGCGTACCTCATCGAGCACCAGCGCATCCACACCGGGGAGAAGCCCTACAAGTGTGGCCAGTGCGGCAAGGCCTTCATCAAGAACTCTTCGCTCACGGTCCACCAGAGAATCCACACGGGGGAGAAGCCGTACAAGTGTGGCGAGTGTGGGAAAACCTTCAGCCGGAACACCAACCTCACACGCCATCTGAGGATCCACACCTAGGGGCGGCCTGGGGGGGCACGTTGTCCTGGGGCTTTCCTTCAGGGGCCTCAGAGCCCACACCAGGAGGGGTGGGATCCTTCACACCCGCCAGCAGCACAAGAAGTTCTGACAGGGTCGCCCACGGGTAGCACCAGGGTTAGAGGAGTCCAGCCCCAGAAGACGGGCCTTACGAATGGGGACTTGTGGACAGGCTCCCTCCCTACGGGGCACCTGCACGTCCACAGTAGAGCAAGTCCCTCCATGTCTAACGCACTTGGGACCATGCTCAGGGGCACTGTGGCTGGAAACTCCCAGGAGCTCCAGGAGCCTGGGCATCAGGGTTCCAGGCCGTGGGAATGAACTGTAAGAGCTGGGACAAGGTTACTTAGTGTCTCTGGGGCGACACTCAGTAGGAAAATGCAGGAGGGGGTTGGGGGAGAGGGGGACTCGATAAGTGAACATGGGGACATTTCTGGATCCTAGATCTGGTCCAGATGTTAGGTCTCACCCTCCATGAATTCCCTCCTGGGGTGGAAGCCAGAGGAGCCCTCCCTCCGTCTGTCCCCAAGCCACCCAGCCAGAGAAGCTGGCAAGTTGTAAGTGGGCGGAAAAGGTGGTTTTCAGCATCAGCAAATAACAGTAAGCACTTCAGATGCCGAAGTTTTTCAGAGTCTGTTAAATTTTTTAAAAATAAAACTTTTAATTAAGAGAGACTGGTGTAATTTTAAATAGTTGTCAGGTGCAAAAGACACAGGCACCAGTGGTTTCTAAAATCCGTCTCAGTGCCTGTGAGAGAGGGGGAGGGCAGGCAAACACCAGCAGGCCTGATATTCAGGTTTAAGTACTTACTTAGCTTAGTAAGTTTGTGTATCTTAGCACACACTGTCCATTTTTATAGTGATTTTTGCAGTTAAATTTGAAGGCAGCTCCAAGTGAGTTTCCTAAGGCTGACCTGACCCTTGGTTTACACAGGGATCTCCCCCAGAGTCTCCTTTCTCAGGGCCTTCGACACCGCCCTTTCTGTTTTAATATTCGATCCTACTTGTCGCAGATGTCCCTGTGTTTCCAACACCGGTGTCCACAAGGAGTAAACAATTCATTTTAAGAAATCATTTATATCAGTAAGCACTTTGTGTTGTGAGTAGGAAAAGCAACTGCTCGAGAGTGCATAATCAAGGCGATGGCTTTTCGGATGGATGTCTGGCAGCCAGGTGGGCATCAGGGTCGGTTTGTTCCAGATGCGGCATCAGGAGTCGTAGCTCTGGCGCTCTGGTTCTCTGGCTTTCCCGTCCTGGGCCGGCCTCATCCTCAGGCTGGCTTCCCTCAGGGTTTCGTGGTGGTTTCCAGCACATTGTCTCAGACACGTCCAGGTGGACGCAGACCTCTTGGCAGTGACACAAAGGCCCGAAGCTTCATTCTGTGGGCTCACCCACCAACAGATTGCCATGACCAGAGAAACGCCGTGTGCGGATGGGCCTAGATCTGGGTCTCTCCCTCATCCCTGAAATCGTGGAGTGGCTCAGGGCCCGAGCTTCTGTGTGCCTGCTGTGGCTGTGGGGTCATTCCGTCCAGATCAGTGTCCAGGGGAAGAGGGAGGATACAGAGAAGGCAGCCCCGTGGCATCATGCCACGGGGGGTGGACGGGGCTTTAATCAGCGGGAAGTCTTGCTGCACGTGGCACTTCCTTTGGGAAATGCCGTCAGTACCATGGAGACCAGGAGGGTCCTCAGTCCCCTCTGTCGTCTGTACTCCCTTAACCCAGCCACAGGGCAGGGGCAGCAGGGGGTCGGCCGGGGCGGGGCGCCCCCAGGAGCTGAGAGACGCAGCCTCACGTGGTGGTGACTGTGTGTGTGTGTGGTCAGGAAGGGGCGTGGGGAAGCTTGTCGCCTCTCCGGCCCTTCTGGGGGCCAAGAGGCCGGGTCTCTGGGGGCTCGTACCAGCTGCTGTTGTCTCCACACCCCTGCTTCCTTCTGTCGCGTCACCTGCGTCCTCCCCGGTCCACCCTCTGCTGGCATCTTAGCCCTGCTGGTGAGGGGAGGCCGTCCACCTCTTCCTGCTCCGCCTCCCCATGCCCGGGCCTGTGCTCTCCTGGAACGGTGCGGGGCAGGGAGCGGAGTGGTGAGGCGAGGAGCGGCAGCTCCCATTTCACTCATTGCCACCTCGTCCCTGAAAGTGGGATGGGGGGGAAACTGAGGCCCGGGACAGGGACAGGCCCCAGCAGCACTCATTCTACAGCAGGTCCCGCACACCCGGGTGCAGCTCCTGAAGAAGCCGAGGATGGGGGTGCAGCCCCGAGCAGGGGTGAGCTCCCCGCGTGCTGGAGCTGACATTCTAGGGCCACCAGGCAGCGGTGCACGGGCTAGAGAAGCCTGAGACACGGAGTTAGGCTGCGGGGGAGTGCATGGTGGCAGGAAAGCCGCAGAGACAGTGGAGGTATGAGGCCCATTCAGGCTGGGTGGTCAGCAAGGCTGCTCAGGAGTGGACATCTGACAGAGACCCGAAGACGCGGGGGGACCTTTAGCGAGGCGGGTGAGTTCCCCCCGAAAGGCCCAGAAGAGGAGATCTGAAGTTCACCACCGATCCTTATCATAAGGGGGCGGTGGGAGCACCTTGTCACTACGGTTAGCGTGTGTCGAGCACCGGGCACGTGCCCAGGACGCGACACAGACGCAGGTGTTCTCGCCACGTCATCCGGTGCGGAGGTGGGGAAGCCAAGGCTCAGGGAGGCTCAGAGGCTCGAGCAGATCGCACAGCCTGGACGTGAGGGCGCCGGGGGTGGTGTGTGGGCTGCATCCTGGCAGAGCCTGCACCCTGACCCCTGTGCAGGCCGCCCCCACGGTTACCAGCCCCTTGCGTAGCCTTCACCAGACGCCCGAGAGGAAGACAAATTGTATTTTCATCATTTTATGTAGCTTCCTGGAGTCATCGGAATGAGTTAGTACTTGGACGAATGTAGAACGGAACACAGGACCCCATACTCAAGGCGAGCACCTGCTGTTACTGTCACTATCAATGAGAAAGAAGCCCTCACTCCATAAGTGAAGGAGAGGGGGCAGAATAATGGAGCCAGGAGGAACAGAGGCCTTGAAGCCAGACTGCCTGGGTTCAAATCCAGACTCTGCCCTTGCTGTGTGACTCTGGGCAAGTTTCTTAACCTCTCTGAACCTGTTTCCTGGTAATACCAGTTCCCACGTTGTGCATTAGTTGTGGGGAATAAATGAGTTGATGTATGTACACCACAGAAAACAGTGCTGTGGACTGAATGGTTTGTGTCCCCTTGAGAGATAATAGGAACATTTTGTATATATTTGTTCCTGGCACGGAGCTCCTAAGTCTCTTGGAATTTCCTTGGTGATAGCAGTGTCTTTTGTTCTGATGAGGTGACTCTGGGTGGGCCCCTGGAGACACAGAGCCATGATTAGAAGCTTGGGATTTTCAGTCCCCCACCCACCCCTTCTATAGCGAGGGGAGAGGGGCTGGAAGTGGAGTTAATGATTGGCCCTGCCCAGGTGAGAAGGCCTCCACAAAATCCGGAAAGCACAGCATTCAGAGAGCTTCCAGCTTGCTGAACACATCCACATACCGGGAGGGCCCCTGCCCCCCAGCTCCACAGGGACAGAAGCTCCTGCCCTCGGGACCCTCCCAGACCTCACCCTGTGTACCTCCTCATCCGGCTGTGCATCTGTGTCCCCTTTCAGATCCTTTTATAATAAACCAGTGACGTAGTGAGTAAAATGTGTCTGCGTTCTGTGAGCGCCTCTTAACAAGTTAAACCCAGGGACGGGGACTGAGAACCTCCCATACACGGCCACTCAGGACAGGTGACAGTCTGCACTTGTGAATGGCCTCTGAAACCGTGCACAGGGGAGCCCTCCACCTGTGGGATCTGATGCTACCTCCAGGTAGACAGTTGAGTTGAACTGTAGGACACCCAGCTGGTGTCAGAATTGCTGGGGGCGGGGGAACGCCCACACATCCGGTGCCCAGGAGAAGTGGGGTGTTTTTCTACTCATACTTACTATATATATTAATGCTTAAATATGAACATAACACGTAATATATATAATACACATGATCTATATAACATATACATTGTATTATATAATTATACAGTAATTACTATAATAATTGTATATCATATACATTATATATTTTATGTAATATATGTACTATATATGTAAAATAAGATAATTTGGGGCATATATATAAGATATATACCATGTTAAAAATAGAGCTACCCTATGACCCAGCAATTACACTACTGGGTATTTACACTAAAGACACAAATGTAGTGAAAAGAAGGGGCACATGCACCCCAATGTTCATAGCAGCAATGTTCACAACAGCCAAACTGTGGAAAGAGCCAAGATGTTCATCAACAGATGAATGGATAAAGAAGATGTGGTCCGTATATACAATGGAATATTACTCAGCCATCAGAAAGGATGAATACCCATCTTTTACATCAACATGGATGGGACTGGAGGAGATTGTGCTAAGTGAAATAAGTCAAACAGAGAAAGTCAATTAGCATATGGTTTCACTCATATGTGAACACAGGAATACTGCAGAGGACCATAGGGGAAGGGAGGGAAATCTGAATGGGAACTCTTCAGAGAGGGAGACAAACCATGAGAGACTCTTGACTATAGGAAACAAACTGAGGGTTGCTGGAGGGGAGGTGGGGGGACAGGGTAATTGGGTGATGGGCATTAAGGAGGGCAAGTGATGTGATGAGCACTGGGTGTTGTACGCAACTGATGAATTACTGAACTCTACATCTGAAACTAATGAGGTACTGGCTAATTGAATTTAAATTAAAAAAAAGAATGAAAAAAGATCTATATAATGAGTTACATGATAGTATATGATATATAATAAAATACATGATACATATAATGAGATATATGTAATAAAATACACACGTATAATAAGATATGGCTTGTTTTTCTAGAGAGCCCTGAATGACACGTGGTCCCTGCTTATACATTATCTTCCTGATTTCCCTGTTTGAAATTTTAGCTCCATCCCCTGCTTCATGATCCTGATTCAGACTACAGCCTGTCTTAGTACTCATTTTATTTCTTGGCATCTGTCTTCTTCACTAGAGTGAGGGCAGAGTTGTGGATCTGCTCGATTTTGCTCACTGTTGTTTCCCCAGGACTTGTAACAGTGCCTGGTACACAGTAGGCACTCGGTAAACGCTGAATGAATGAGTCAAGGATAGCGCTCAATAAATGCTAGCCAGCTGGATTATGAATAAGCAAGTGAGTCTTCCCGGGTCCCAGGCTGTTCCACTCCAGACCTAACGCAGTTCCTGGAGACCTGGATGCGGCTTGTGTCCCTTCGTCCCCAGGGGAGGCCAGGCGAGCGGGTTGAGGATCTGCAGTTTTGAATCCTCTCAGTGGGCCTCGGGGCACATGGGGGCTGCCAGAGTTGTTTGGTACCTGCCCTGGGGGTTTGGGGGCTGAGGACAGGCCAACAGAGCCTGATAGAGTAGGTTCTTGGGGTGTGGGCGCTCCGGATGGGTTGTTTGGCATTTGAAAAGCATATTTACAGATGAGTTGTTTCCTGTCTCTAGGAATTAGCTAGCTCTGGGAGCAGCGGTCTCTCCAGTGCCAGGAGGCCCTAAGAGGTCAAAGCAGCAGAAAATAAAAGGCATGGTGAATACATCATCGCCCTAGCCAGAGCCAGTCTCCCTCGCTCAGCCTCAGCAGGGGTGGCTGGACAAGGCTCCCTGTGGGCCTCTGGGGCCTCTGGCCAAGCAGCAGCACACGTACGATGTAGCCAGAGGGAGGTGGCCCTTCTGCTCTACCTGCCTAGACACTGCCCCACTGTTGGGGACCCCACCGGGACCTCAGGGACCCCACACGCCTGCCCCAGAATATGAGGAAGGGGTCTCCTGGGTCAGCCAGTTCCCCCTCACAGCCCCGGTTCCTGGCCTGGGAGTGGTCACACCGGGAGCCTCAGAGATTGGGGAGAAGGAGGCTGGTCCTGCAGAAACCCAGTGAAGCGGTGGCGAGGCTTCCAGGCAAAGCCAGAAATGTCTTGGAATCTTTGGAATTACAGGAGAAGAACGATCCTCTCTCACATCACAGACTAATCACTGCACCCACCCAACCCCGCCGTGAACCCCAACACCCTGGATGGGATGCCTGTGAACATAAAGTGCTCTGAGTCAAGCAGGTGCCTTATCCAGTACAAACCTCACCCACAACCTTAATATTTTAGTATTTTATTATTGAAAATAATTATCCTCTATTTTGTCAATAATAGATTATAAACAAATATATATAATATAAATATAATTATGCTCTATTATTATCAATAATAAAATATTTATTAAGAAATAACTAGTATCCAGAGTGCTATTATTATCCCACTTTTCCAAAGGAGGAAACGGAGGCTCGGGGGACTAATACTTTGCTTGAGATCAGGGAGCTGAAAAGACAGACTTTTTATGTGCAATGTTTCTGTTTTCTCAATGGTACCCAATTTCCATATTTATTTAAGAAATGCTCTTTGGGCCAGAACACAGACCACCTATGTGTGGGGGAAGAACCGCATGGAACCCTGTGGCCTGTAGCCTGGGTCATGTGGTTGGCAATGTGATGAGGTTTGCTGCGGGGTCAGCGGATCCCGGGTACTGCTGCTGGCCCCCACACTTAGTAGGTAGTGATTGCTGAGCTCCTTTGGTCCCTCCTTGTCTGTTAAACAGAGATGGTGCCTGACCTCCCATGAGGGTGGAGGTGATGGCTGAGGTCATGGACCTGGGTCAGCATGCACTAAATGCAGCAAGCAACCCCAAAGGCCTGGGACCTTATTCCTCACAGCCGATTAGGAGGAGGATGGGCTTCCTGGGGGCTCCCTCCACGATCTTGCACTGCTGCTTCTGGAGATGCCCAGGGGTGAGGATCCAGAGGACAAGTGGGGGAAGGGCAAGTGGCAAAGGCTCAGCCATTTCTGAACACACCCCTCTCTCACTTTCTACAGGTGAGGGGTAGTCCGTGTCCCCCTGCCCTGGATGCCAGTGGGAAATGCAGTCTCTGACAGGACAGCTGTGTTCCCAGACCAACTCCACATGGTGAAGTAAGGGTTCCTGGCCCTCCCTCCCACCCACACAAAGCACAGGTGGGTGCTCAGGTGATGCTTGCCCATCCCGTGTAGACATCAGCTACAGTTATGAAAGTTCAAACTTCTAGCCATTTGGGGATGTCATAGATTGAACATGTCCCCCCAGATTTAGATGTTGCAATACCCAGTCACTTTAAAATGTGACTGTATTTGGAGACAGGGCTTTAAAGGGATCATTGTGGTTAAATGAGGTCATATGGGTGGGCCCTAATCCTATGGCTGGTGTCTTTAGAACGAAAGAGACACGCCAGGGCCTCACACAGGGCTGCCATACGCAAGCCTAGGAGAGTAGCCACAGGAGAAACCAACCCTGTGGACACCTCAGTGTCAGAATTCCAGCCTCTGGAACCATGGGAAAATAGATTTCTGTTGTTTAAGCCGCCCGGTCTATGGTGCTTTGCTATGGTAGTGGGAGCAAACCAATGCAATGAATAGAGAGAGCTACAAAAAGCTCCCATTGGACAAACTTCCCTTGCCCGAGACACTCAGATCCTGCTGCAAACATGCAGCCACTGAACAGAGAATCATATTTATTCTATTCTGGATTAAGTGCCAGGTACACAGACAGCTGGTAGGATTCAGGACCAAGGACAGTGGCTGGTCCGGCCCACAGGAAGGCCTTGAGAGGAAAGAATGGAGCCATCCCATCTCAGAATCCCACCACCTGATGTGGAGCAGCCCACCCAGAAAGGACCGGGGAGGGAGACCCTGCGACCAAGCAGGGACTTGCCCTAGATGGTGCAAGACAGTCCAGAATTCCCTTCGATTACTCTTGGTTGATGGCCAGGGGCTGGCAAACTTTGTGTGAAGGCCTAGATGGTAAATATTTTACCCTTTGTGGGTCATAGGAGCTCTCTTCTCATACTCTTTTCATTTTATTTTACAACCCTTCCAAAAGATAAAAACCATTCTTGCCTTGCGGTCCGTGCAAAAGCATGTCTGGCTCTGTGGGCTGTGGTTTCTCAACCCCTGGTCTGATCTCCCTGGGACTGGCAAATTCACCACGGTGACAGCAGAGCATGAAATCGATGTGCGCCCTGTGTGGTGGCTCAGGTTGTGCACCCATGAAGCAGGCCCTGCTGTCATCTGTCTTTTCCAAATTCTCAGGAATGTGGCACCAGCCTTATGGGCATCTCTTGAGGTCCCTAAGTGAAGCCTAAAGAGAAAGAAGGACGAAACTTGGCCATCAGGCCCATCACGTGAGGCTCAGTTGTTGGTTAGCTGGGAGGAAGGCCTGCTCCCTGAGCTGGGCCGGCGCGGGTCCACCTCCCCGGCCATGTGGGTCTTCTGGTGGCAGGTGAGATTCCCGATGCGCCTGAAGGCCTTGCCGCACGCCTGGCACTCGTAGGGCTTCTCCCCGGTGTGAATTCTGCGGTGCGCCGTTAGCGTGGGCTGGTGCCGGAAGGCCTTCCCGCACTGTGCGCACTGATAGGGCTTCTCTCCTGTGTGGATCCTACCGTGCTGGACCAGAGTGGACTTGCGCACGAAGGCCTTGCCGCACACGCCGCACTGGAAGGGCCTCTCGTCGCTGTGGATGGCCTGGTGCTGGAACAGGAAGGACACCTTCCGGAAGCTGCGCCCGCACTCGCCGCATCGGTAGGGCTTCTCGCCCGTGTGGATCCTCAGGTGGATGGAGAGGTGCGCCTTCTGGCTGAAGGTCTTGCCGCACTCCTTGCACGGGAAGGGCCGCTCCCCAGTGTGCGTGCGCCGGTGGACGGTGAGGTAGCCCTTCTGGCTGTAGGACTTCCCGCAGGCCCCGCACTGGAATGGCCTCTCGCCGGTGTGGCTGCGCCGGTGCACCACGAGCTGCACGTTCTGGTTGAAGGCCTTGCCGCAGTCGGGGCAGCGGAAGGGCCTCTCGCCCGTGTGGATCCTCTCGTGCAGGATGAGCGCGGACGACTTGGTGAAGCGCTTCCCGCACTGCTGGCATGGGTACGCCTTCTCGCCCGTGTGCGTCTTCTGGTGCTCCACCAGCGTCATGCTCTGCACGAACGCCTTGCCGCACTCGTAGCACTTGAAAGGCCGCTCGCCCGTGTGTGTGCGGTGGTGGTTGACCAGGTCGGATTTCTTGCGGAAGGCCTTCCCGCACACCCGGCACTGGTGGGGTCTGGTACCCGTGGGGGCCCGCTGGTGCCCGAGCAGGGACGAGCGCTTGGTGAAGCGCTTGCCGCACACGTCGCACACGAAGGGCTTCTCCCCGGTGTGGATGCGCTGGTGGTCCACCAGATTGGTGATGAGGGTGAAGGCCTTGCCACAGTCGCCGCACGGGTAGGGCCGCTCGCCCGTGTGCGTGCGCTGGTGCCCGACCAGCTGCATGTTCTGCACGAAGGCCCGGCCGCACTGGGCGCAGCGGTAGGGCCGCTCGCCGGTGTGGATGCGCCGGTGCACCGTGAGGTTGGCGCGCTGGCTGAAGGCCTTGCCGCACTCGGCGCACGCGAACGGCTTCTCCCCGGTGTGCACGCGCCGGTGCACGGCTAGTGTGGCATTCCTGCGGAAGCGTCTCCCGCACTCACCGCACGCGAAGGGCTTGTCCAGGGCGTGTGCGCGCTGGTGCTGCGCCAGCTGGGCACGCAGCGCGAAGGCCTCCCCGCACTCCCTGCACACGCAGGGCTCCTCGCCGCCAGGGGCTCCCCGGGGGCCCTCCCAGTCGGGGTTCCGCGGGGCACAACTGTGGAGGCTCCTCCCTTCTGGAATTTCTGGCTGGGCGTCTCTGGGCTGATGCTCTGCAGGGGCCCTTCCTGGAGGCCCCTCGGCCTCTCCCGCCCCGGAGCGCCAGAGGCGGCTCCCTCCCCTCTCTTCCAGGGCCAGCCCGGGGGACGCTCCTGCAGGCACGGCTTTCTCTGGGCCGTCCCTGTCAGGCCTGGATTTCAAATCTGAAAGAGACCCAAAACACGAATGTCACCCACGTAGCCTGCTCCCCGAGCGAGGAGAGGTGAGGGCTGGGAGCTAGGAAAGCCAAGAGAAGCCCCCTCAAGCACTTCCCAAGGGTTCTAGAATAAGGCCTGATGCGCAGGTGCAGTGTCCCCTCCCCCCATTCATATGCTGAAATCCTCAACCCCAGGTGGTAATGTTAGAAGGTGGGGCCTTGAGGAGGTGAGTAGGTCAGGAGGGTGGAGCCCTCATAAATGGGCTTAGTGCCCTCCTAAAAGGGACCCCAGAGAGTTCCTCCAGCCTGCCTCCCTGCGAGGACACAAGAAGTCACTGGCTGTGAACCAGCAAAGAGGGCCCTCCCAGAATGGTTGGTCTTACCTAGTGAGCTGAGGTTCTGCAAGTTCTCCAGCATCACATCTCTGTAGAGGTCCCTCTGAGCCGGCTCCAGCTGTTGCCACTGCTCCTGGGTGAAGTCCACGGCCACGTCTTTGAAGGTCACCAACTCCTGCAACCACGAAGTCATCTGGTCCACCCAGGCCCAGGGGAAAGGTGGGGCAGGGAGCTGGTTTCAGTGGGTCATCCCCGGAGGACCCCCTACACACCAGCCCAGCGCAGGGCACATAGTAGGTACTCAAGAGACATCAGCTGAGATTATGATGACCATGATTATTACAGGGCTGGAGTTTGAGGCTGAGACCCTGGGTTTGATGATTCTTTACAAGGACACACAGGACTCTACATAAAATCATACCTGTGACTGCCCTGCCCCAGGTGCTGGGGAGACGGCGGGCCCTGGAGGGGACTCAGGCGGGCAGGGGCTCATTCGACTCTCTGTCCACCCACGAGAAGGAGGGTGAGGGGACAACAGTACTCACCAGGGCCTCATCAGCCAGCAGCTGGGCAGCCATCCCTTCACTGCCCATGGTGATGGGGGCCTGGTGGCTGAGTCTGGGGGCTGATGGGGTGAGGTGCAGAGAGCGAGAGAAACAGAGGGAGGACAGTGAGGAACTAGGCCTAGCTCTGCTCTACACACACATGCACACACCGCCGTCCCCCTTTTCTCATCCACGGAAACACACAGAGACACAGCACAGGGCTCACGCTAGGAGACGCCCGCGGTGTGGTGGAAATGGGCAGTGGAGACGCGTCTCCCAGGCAGGATCAGACCCAGGCCCGCTCTGCCTACACATCCCCACCCTCCCTGACCCAGCTCATGGGGCTCTTTCCTCTGCGCTGACCCAGACCTTGTTCACAACTCTCCTTTGACACTGGTCACCCTGGGCTGAATTGATTGTGAGGCTGCAGGAGCCAGATACCTGGGTTCAGACCCCAGCTCTGCCACTTACCCGCCATGTACCTTTGGGCAAGTGACTTAACCTCTGCCTGCCTCAGTTTTGTCATCTGGAAAATGAGGATAAGGTGCCCACCACACAGAGTCCTTACGAGGTTTCAACGGGTGAGTATAAGCACATCCCTTAAGGTAGTGTGTGCCATGTGGTAAGAATGTAGAAACGTTTTCATTTAATTTTTTTAAAGATTTTATTTTTTTAAAGTCATCTCTACACCCACCATGAGCCTTGAACTCACAACCCTCTGATCAAGAGTCACATGCTCTACTGGGAGCCAGGCACCCCTGTTTTAATTTTATTTTATTATCACCATCTGTATATAGAACATTCCCCCCACCACCCCACTTATCCGGGATTCCTTTTATTAGCCTTTATCCCAGGACTCTGCATAGGATTTGGTCTACAGCAAGCTTCCCTATTTTATTATGGTCAAATACACATAACATAACATTTGCCATTTTACCAATTTACCATTTAAAGTTGTACAATTCATCAGCATTGATAGCACATTCACACTGTTGTACAACCATCACTTCTGTCTAGTTCCAAACCAAAACATTTTCATCACCCCAAAAGGAAACCTTATACCCACGAAGCAGACCCTCCCCACGCCCTCCCTCCCCCAGTCCCTTGGAACCATCAATCTGCTTTCTGTCTGCATGGATTTGCCTGCTCCAGACATTTCCTATAAACGGAATCCTACACTGCATGGCTCTGTGTCTGGCTTCTTTCACTGAGTGTGAGGTTTCCAGGGTTCACCTATGTGATTGAGTGTGTCAGGGCTTCACTCCTTCTCACGGCCGTATAATATTCCACTGTGTGAACAGACTGTTGTTATCCGTTCATGTGCTCATGGACATTTGGGTTGTTTCCCCCTTTTGGCCATTGTGAGTATTGCCGCTGTGAATATGCACGGTCAAGTGTTTATTATCTGAATCCCTGTTTTCAATTATCTGGGGTGTATACCCGAGTGGAATTGCTGGGTCATGGGGGAATTCTGTGTTCAACTTTTCAAGGAACCACCAAACTGATCTTTCACAGCAACAGTGGGCCTTAAATTAGAAGAAACTCTGAATATACAAAACTACAAAAGGGAAGGAGACAAGGGTCTTTTAGGTCATCTGGGGCCACGGGGTCTCAGAACCTGCATTTTTAACTGGTCCTCTTCCTCACCAGGGACCCTGACATGGCTTCAGCTTCCCCTTCAAACTCTTGTGATCCCAAACCCCAATCTGTAAAAATGGAAAACGGAGCCCAGCAGCAACCTCTGGGTGTTTACTCTTTCTTTCTTTTTTTTAAAGATTTTATTTATTTATTTGAGAGAGAGAGAAAGAGAGAGTGGTGGGGGGAGGGGCAGAGGGAGAGGCAGACTCCCCCCTGGGAAGGGAGCATGACACAGGGCTCCATCCCAGGACCCTGAGATCATGACCTGAGCCAAAGGCAGGTGCTTAACTGACTGAGCCACCCAGGTGCCCCTGGGTGCTTATTTCTAAATGATATACAAGTACTGCAGTACAAAACGTGGTATATTATGATACAAAATATAAGGTACACACACACACTATATATATATATACACCATACTTACAAGTATATAAGGTACACACATACTCTAAAGACCATATTACCATGTGTCTATGAGACATAATCACACAGTAAATGCCGTATATATGCATATGTAACGTATATATGAACTGATATACGTGACCTGTATATAAGAGGTATAGGTACTAAATATCACATATACATTATATGTGGTCCAATCACACACTAAATACCACATATACCTATATATATGTGACCTTTTTATCTGTGTGCTGTGGTACCAAATACCATATATACCTGTATATGGCATGGAATCATGCACACTAAACACTGTGTATACACGTGTGTAAGATATGTAAACTGATTATACATATATCATTGTTCTGAATACCATATGCATGGGCATATAAACGGTTTACCACATAAACATGTACATAAGGTGTATAAACACTACCATATATACTTATAAATAAGGTATATATATGTACATATACTACTGTATATACATTTATAGAAGGTGTATATGTACACTCACATTAAATACCATAATTGCACTAATACATATAACTACCCCAATACCGTATATATGTGTATGCCACGAAATACCATATTTCAGTGACTCCAACAGACCATACACTGAAAAAAGGCATGATTTTACCTAAGGGGAAAAAAAATCTGCCAATTAAACCACAACATACCATCAGTGGTAAGACACATACTATTTTCGGAGATGTTAAAATGGGAGGGAAATGTGAAAAATGCATCTTAGAATTAAAGCTGAATTGCTCTCCTTCGTGAAATGACCTACGAACGCAAGCTCTACTACTCTCTGGCTTCACCCCACTGCACGGCCTGGCACACCCCATGTCAGAGACCACTGTCCTGACATAGCGCAGACCCCGCGTCCAGGCTGCCTGGGCTGGACTCCCTGCCTGCCGCTCCCTAGCTGTGTGCCTGGGCAGGTCACTTAACCTGTTTCGTCATCTGGAAGGTGAAGGACCTAAGACCCCTACTTTGTAGGGTTGTTGTGAAGTGGTACCTGCACAGGGCTTCCTAAGTGTGGTTATTATATTGCACTAACTCTCCCACCGTTGTGCGGGCGAGGGGGCTTTTCATTTTTGCGCCTCAGTTTCCACATTTGCAAATGGGGGGGGAATCCTAGTGCGAATGGCACTGGGCTCCTGTGGGGTTCAAGGAGATAACAGGATGTCTCTCCGGTTTCCGCAGGCGTCCACATCAGCCATCGCCCGGGAGCTCCAGAAGCCCCGGGCCCCCGGGCCCCGCCCCGGCGAATTGGAGCCGGTCTTCCCGGGCGGGGCCCGGGGGTCTGCACCTCCGATGAGCTCCGGGCGGCGCCGGCACCATGGGAGGGGGACCCACGCTCCGGAGCAAGTGGACGCTCCGAAACTGCTGGCAGCAGCGCTGCCGTTACTATTACCTAAACAACAGCAACAACGAGAGCAGCTCCGACGTATGGAGCTCCGCGCGCCACCCCGGCAGAGGTGCTGTCCACACCCACTGTCCGGGCGGGGAAACTGAGGCACGGAGGGGCGGGATTCACAGCCCCTTCCGGGCCCCTCCCGCGATCCGGGGTGCGTGATCCTCCCCACGACGAAAACCTGGCGGACTAGTGAACCCGGCGGGCGGCGCGGACTCACCGGCGGCCACCGGGCGGCGGCTGGGCTCTGGCCGCGGTCGGTCCCGGCGAGCACACGGTCTGCGCCTGCGCGCCTCGCCGCTCCCGCCCCGCCCCTGCACCGCGCGGGCCGCGCCCCCTCACCGGCGGCCACCGGGCGGCGGCTGGGCTCGGGCCGCGGTCGGTCCCGGCGAGCACACGGTCTGCGCCTGCGCGCCTCGCCGCTCCCGCCCCGCCCCTGCACCGCGCGGGCCGCGCCCCCCTCCGCACTCCCAGAAGCCTCAGCGTGGGAGGAGACCGAGGGGCGGAGGAGGGAGGAGAAGGGGATGGGAATAGAGGAGGAGCTTGGAGGGAGGAGAGGGGTGAAATGGAGGGGAAGGGCTTGGAGGAAGGAGGGTGGAAGGGAGGAGGACAGGGAGCGGAGGCGAGGAGGGGCTTGGATGGAGGAGGGGGAGAAATGGGAGCTTGGAGGGAGGCAGAGAGGGGAGGAGCTTTGAGAAAGGGGAGGAGGGGCTTGGACGGAGGAGTGGGGAGGAAGGGAGGGGAAGCACTTGGAAGGAGGCGGGAGGAGGAAAGGGAGGGGCTCGGAGGGAACAGGGAGGAGGGGAGGGAGGGGCTCGGAG